CTCACCCTCCCTCTACTGGCGCCTGTGCTCACAACCCTTGTTGCTATACAACGTCTCAACAACTCCTGTGCTTGAGGAAGAAAGGTATAAGGAGATGTCTATTGCAAGTAATCTATTGAAAATTCAACTTCAGGAAATGACGTCAGCGACATTTGTTGACCTCGCTATGGCTAAATTACAATAATTATTTTTCCCCGGTGTTAGAGATAAATGTTTTGTAGTATACAAAAGGATAAAGGCATTGTTAGGGTTTGTTATGGTGAGGTTAAAGGGAGGTAAGTGAGCAGTGCCAAGTGTTACAGTAATATCCAGCTTCACTAAGTCTTTCCTCGCACTCCAGGCCACCAGTTCCGGTACCAGTCTTGCCGCGCCTCTCTGGAGTGTGATGGTTTAACTACGTGTCAGTGTGTACACCTCAAACGTACACACATGTACACCTCCTGACACGTACACACACCTCACTCACACAGGTAATCCACCCCTCCCCCCCCCCCCCACCCTTCCCTTGATCTGCCACTTCGTCCAAAATGCAACCTTTTACGGGGCGAGAACAGCTTCAGCTCCGTCATCACTTGGTCCCTATTTTATACCTCAATAAACTTATTTCAATCCCGCCTTTTGGCCTAACCTGAACCGTATCAACCCAAGCAACCCACCTAACTTATTAAGTCCGATGCATAGAAAAATGTGGATATTTGTGAGTCGTTGCCTTCCTTAATTCGTTATATAACGTTAGTTACCATCACGTTAACAACGGGTGAGGTGTTTGTTGAGAGATGGGGGGGGGGAGGGGGTGGTTGACCACCACTACTGCTCAAGCCGCCGCCTCCTCCTCCTCCTCCTGGTTGATACCTGATTGATACCTGGTTGATGGGGTTCTGGGAGTTCTTCTACTCCTCAAGCCCGGCCCGAGGCCAGGCTTGACCTCCTCCTCCTCCACCGCAAGTCTCAAGACACAACTTGAGGGAACCAGCGGAAGTACGAGTGAGAGTAACGAGGCTGCGCCAGAACAATTACAATCCTTAGAGCCGTCTTATCGGGTGTTGATGGAGACCAAGTCCAGACACACACACACACACACACACACCACACGGCCAGTAGCAGCCTGCTACTGCTCCGGACTGTTGGACGCGGGCGGGCCAGTAGCAGCAGATCACAGAGCACACTATAGTGCCAGAGGGTGCAGGGGGGGGCCACGGCCCGTCACCTGTGCCACCACTGGATGGGGGAGGAGATAGGCTCGCCCCTCTTATCTATCCCCTCCATCTTGTCCTAATTACCTCCCCCCATCCCTCTCGCGCCACGTCCTCACTCCAGCATAATTACCTGCCTGGGGGTAATGACCTGGTTGGTGGAGGTGGCACCAACCGTGGCATAACAGCCCCCCTCCTATCCGTCACCCCCCAGTAGCTAAACCCGCCCCCCCCCAGCAGCTAGGCCAGTAGCACCCCCCCCCCAGCAGCTAGGCCAGTAGCACCCCCCCCCCCAGCAGCTAGGCCAGTAGCACCCCCCCCCCGCCCCAGCAGCTAGGCCAGTAGCAGCCCCCCCCCCCCCCAGCAGCTAGGCCACCAGCCTCTGGTGCCGCCCAGTAATTACCAAATGGACAGTGGTTGGGCAGCTATATCAGTATGGGAGCCCAGCTGGCATTGTCTCTAGTTAGTCTGATGCTGCATGGTTCCCCCCTGGGTCTTGACCCACGCTCCCAGCTGGTCCACCCACGCTCCCAGCTGGGTCTCACCCACGCAGGGTTCTCAGGCCCTCGTAACGTTCTCCAAACATTTGTTGTATATTTTGTGCTTCACACACACACACACACACACACCTGTGGGCCTGGTAGCCTGGTGGATAGTGCGCAAGACTCGTAATTCTGTGGCGCGGGTTCGAGTCCCGCCCCAGGCAGAAATAAATGGGCAAAGTTTCTTTCACCTTGAATGCCCCTGTTACCTAGCAGTAAATAGGTACCTGGGAGTTAGTCAACTGTCACGGGCTGCTTCCTGGTGTGTGTGTGTGTGTGTGTACTCACCTAGTTGTGCTTGCGGGGGTTGAGCTCTGGCTCTTTGTGTGTGTGTGGGGGGGGGGGGAGAAAAAAAATAGTAGTAGTTAGTAAACAGTTGATTGACAGTTGAGAGGCGGGCCGAAATAGCAAAGTTCAAAGCTGTGTATCATCACGCAAAACACAACTAGGTGAATACAACTAGGTGAACACACACACACACACACACACACACACACACACACACACACACACACACACACACACACACACACACACACACACACACACACAGCTTTACACGTGTACTTGTGTGTTTCGGGCAAGGAGACTCTTGTGTTAAGCGACCATATTCACATGTCATCAACATATGATGGCACATTTCTGTCCGTTTCGCCCCCCCCCCCCCCCGAACGAGACGTGTCGGGTCGTGCACCTCTCGTGCCACGCTCAGGCTGGCTAGTTTCGTACACATGTGGCATAAACAAGTGTTTGTACCACGTGTGTACACGTGTGTCTGTGTATCACAAACACATTAAACACATGTGTCTGTGTATCACAAACACATATAACACATGTATCTGTGTATCACAAACACATATAACACATTAAACACATGTGTCTGTTTATCACAAACACATATAACACATTAAACACATGAGTCTGTGTATCACAAACACATATAACACATTAAACACATGAGTCTGTGTATCACAAACACATATAACACATTAAACACATGTGTCTGTGTATCACAAACACATATAACACATTAAACACATGTGTCTGTGTATCACAAACACATATAACACATTAAACACATGAGTCTGTGTATCACAAACACATATAACACATTAAACACATGAGTCTGTGTATCACAAACACATATAACACATTAAACACATGTGTCTGTGTATCACAAACACATATAACACATTAAACACATGAGTCTGTGTATCACAAGCACATATAACACATTAAACACATGAGTCTGTGTATCACAAACACGTATAACACATTAAACACATGTGTCTGTGTATCACAAACACATATAACACATTAAACACATGAGTCTGTGTATCACAAACACATATAACACATTAAACACATGTGTCTGTGTATCACAAACACATATAACACATATAACACATGTGTCTGTGTATCACAAACACATATAACACATTAAACACATGTGTCTGTGTATCACAAACACATATAACACATTAAACACATGAGTCTGTGTATCACAAACACATATAACACATTAAACACATGAGTCTGTGTATCACAAACACATATAACACATTAAACACATGTGTCTGTGTATCACAAACACATATAACACATTAAACACATGAGTCTGTGTATCACAAACACATATAACACATTAAACACATGTGTCTGTGTATCACAAACACATATAACACATTAAACACATGAGTCTGTGTATCACAAACACATATAACACATTAAACACATGAGCCTGTGTATCACAAGCACATATAACACATTAAACACGTGTGTCTGTGTATCACAAACACATATAACACATTAAACACGTGTGTCTGTGTATCACAAACACATATAACACATTAAACACGTGTGTCCGTGTATCACCACGTATCACAAGCACATATAACACATTAAACACATGTGTCCGTGTATTACCACGTATCACAAGCACATATAACACATGTGTCTGTGTATCACCACGTATCACAAGCACATATAACACGTGTGTCTGTGTATCACCACGTATCACAAGCACATGTAACACACTAAACACATGTGTCTGTGTATCACCACGTATAACAAGCACATGTAACACATTAAACACATGTGTCTGCGTATCACCACGTATCACACATATAACACATTAAACACGTGTGTCCGTGTATCACCACGTATCACAAGCACATATAACACATTAAACACGTGTGTCCGTGTATCACCACGTATCACAAGCACATATAACACATTAAACACGTGTGTCTGTGTATCACCACGTATAACAAGCACATGTAACACATTAAACACATGTGTCTGCGTATCACCACGTATCACACATATAACACATTAAACACGTGTGTCCGTGTATCACCACGTATCACAAGCACATATATAACACATTAAACACGTGTGTCTGTGTATCACCACGTATCACAAGCACATATAACACATTAAACACGTGTGTCCGTGTATCACCACGTATCACAAGCACATATAACACATTAAACACGTGTGTCTGTGTATCACCACGTATCACAAGCACATATATAACACATTAAACACGTGTGTCTGTGTATCACCACGTATCACAAGCACATATAACACATTAAACACGTGTGTCTGTGTATCACCACGTATCACAAGCACATATAACACATTAAACACACGTGTCCGTGTATCACCACGTATCACAAGTCCTACAACATCGCTTCCACCAGGTCGCCACACTAACCGCTGCTCTATATATATATATATATATATATATATATATATATATATATATATATATATATATATATATATATATATATATATATATATATATATATATATCAAGGCTAATAAGAAGATTTACTAGAGCGAGTCGGGGAAAGGTCAAAGCATCTCGCTCTATTAGTGGAAACCTTTCGAGAATAGATCAGTGAGAGGGGGGTCGTGGGCGTGTGTGGGTGGAGCGTGGGCGTTGGGGGTGTGTGGGTGGCTGGGGGCGTGGACCAGCCCGGCAGGCACACCACCTGCATAAGCAACCGGCCAACTGTCTTGACGGGAACCATCTGGCCGCCCCCCACAGGGTGTAGGTGGGGGGCGGTGCGCCACCTCGCGCGCCTCTACGCTGCTCTTCGTTCACAACAAGAGATAAACCGGAAAGTATCGCTCACGGGGGTGAGCCTATCATGGCCGCGGCAACCCTTTCTCCTGCTGTCTCTTCCAGGGCCACACACAACTATCCTTACTCTTCCAGGGCCACACACAACTATCCTTACTCTTCCAGGGCCACATGTGCCCCTCATCTCCCAGGGCCACACGTGGGGCTCCCGCGCCCCTCAGGGCCACACGCGGGCCCCCCGCACCCCTCAGGGGCCACACGCGGGCCCCCCGCGCCACTCAGGGCCCCACGCGGGCCCCCCGCGCCCCTCAGGGCCCCACGCGGGCCCCCCGCGCCCCTCAGGGCCACACATGGGGCCCCCGCGCCCCTCAGGGCCACGCGCGGGCCCCCCGCGCCCCTCAGGGCCACACGCGGGCCCCCCGCGCCCCTCAGGGCCACACGCGGGCCCCCCGCGCCCCTCAGGGCCACACATGGGGCCCCCGCGCCCCTCAGGGCCACACGCGGGCCAACCGCGCCCCTCAGAGCCCCACGCGGGCCCCCCGCGCCCCTCAGGGCCACACGCGGGCCCCCCGCGCCCCTCAGGGGCACACATGGGGCCCCCGCGCCCCTCAGGGCCACGCGCGGGCCCCCCGCGCCCCCTCAGGGCCACGCGTGGGCCCCCCGCGCCCCCTCAGGGCCACGCGTGGGCCCCCCGCGCCCCCTCAGGGCCACGCGTGGGGCCCCCGCGCCCCTCAGGGCCACACGCGGGCCAACCGCGCCCCTCAGGGCCCCACGCGGGCCCCCCGCGCCCCTCAGGGCCCCACGCGGGCCCCCCGCGCCCCTCAGGGCCACACGCGGGCCCCCCGCGCCCCTCAGGGCCACACGCGGGCCCCCCGCGCCCCTCAGGGCCACACATGGGGCCCCCGCGCCCCTCAGGGCCACACGCGGGCCCCCCGCGCCCCTCAGGGCCACACGCGGGCCCCCCCGCGCCCCTCAGGGCCACTCATATGGACCCCCGCGCCCCTCAGGGCCACACATATGGACCCCCGCGCCCCTCAGGGCCACACGTGGGCCCCCCGAGCCCCTCAGGGCCACACGTGGGCCCCCCGCGCCCCTCAGGGCCACACGTGGGCCCCCCGCGCCCCTCAGGGCCACACGCGAGCCCCCCGCGCCTCAGGCGAATGTGAGAGTGATGACCCAGGCAAGGGTAAATGGGCACATCGTAGAGTTTTCACCTCAGCCGCGTGTACTGGACGCTACTGTGGTCAAGAGTGGGGCGGGGTGGGGCCTAGGGTGGGCCAGGGGTGGGCCTGGGGTGGGGCCGGGGTGGGCCTGGGGTGGGGCCGGGGTGGTACAAGGGCTGAGCGTAAAAACGTCACTACCACAGTAGGGTTGCATGCAAGACGCTCCGGTTAATATTGACCACTCTTTAATCTTTTGACACCGGGAGCCGACCCCTGCGCCCCCTCCCCTCCCCCCCCTCCACCTCCTCCTCGACTGAGGGCCAAGGTGGACCTCCAGCAGTGTGCCTCTTGACCCGTCAGTCCTGTGTTACAGCAGAGCTTCCAAACTGTTACTTCCACGGGCGGTTAATGAGGAAGTTCCCAGGAGGGTGTATAGCACTATGTCCACCTCACAGTGAGGTGCTAACAGCTGGTGTGCACGCGCGCTAAATCACACGCAGGCGCGCGCGTACACACAGTATCACAAGCACAGCTTCAAGGAACCTGTACACCAGTTGACTGACAGTTGAGAGCCGGGACCAAAGAGCCAAAGCTCAACCCGCCCGCAAGCACAACTAGGTGGCAGGACTCACACAATGAGTGAGTGAGCAAGGGAGAGGTGGGTGGGGTGGCGGGGACACAGGAGTGGGTGTGGGTAAGGGAGAGGTGGGGGAGAGGGGTGGCGGGGACACAGGAGTGGGAGTGAGCAAGGGAGAGGTGGGGGAGAGGGGTGGCGGGGACACAGGAGTGGGAGTAAGGGAGAGGTGGGGGAGAGGGGTGGCGGGGACACAGGAGTGGGAGTGAGCAAGGGAGAGGTGGGGGAGGGGTGGCGGGGACACAGGAGTGGGAGTGAGCAAGGGAGAGGTGGGGGAGAGGGGTGGGGGGGACACAGGAGTGGGTGTGGGTAAAGGGGGTGGAGGAACCCCACCATTAACCAGCAGGGGTAGAGTCACTTACCGCCTTCACCCCTGACGTGATGATACCCACCCGACAATTATCATTCAATCCCCCTCCCAGCGCCCCACTCTTAACCTCTTCCTCACTATGACGGGGGGCCACGAGCCTCAAAATACCATCAATCACAAACTTCAAAGCTCTTCCTCCAGTTGCTGGCCTGATATACGCCGACCTTCACCACTTACGTCGTTCAAAACATTGGTCAGGAACACTGCAAACATTACACACACATCACTCTTGTCGCGTATCAACGAGAACAACAAATTAGAAAATAAAATTTATCATTGATATTTCATTAAAATAACATTCTCAATTGTTCTCAGGCAAGAACTGTTATCAGCTCATCAGAAACCTACCCCCTACAAACTCATTTGATGAGCTGATGAGTTGTATTCATTAGTAATTAACTAGATTTAATGATAACGAGCACT